CGGGCAATCATGTCAAAGTGGGGATCTACACCCTGGTACTCTAATTGTCAATAGGTATATTTCAAAAAGAAAATAACTCACCTACAAGTTCATAACATCTAATACAATTCAGTGATCAATTATAGTGAGGAAATGAGGCATGGAGAGGGGGTGGCACTCACAAATGTGTGATCTAACTTGGTGGAGAATTCAAGTTCTGCCTAGTTTATAAGAAGTGAATCTTTGTTTTCATTGCATGGTTCTCTCTTATGATTGACATGTAGTGACGGTAATAGAAATGATACTTTGACACCATCTTCTGTTTTTTCCTGGAAAAGGCAGCAATGCAAATTTAAGTCAGTCACTTAACTTTTTATAGAATGGATTGAGATTAATCATGCATTTTTTGGGGGATTACTAGGCCCGGCCCACCCCAAATTTTACATAAAAAATTGGATAAAATTTATCAAACCTAATTTTTTTTTCCGGCTATGTCACGTCTTTTGCTGTCTCTAGCATTTGAACCTTCTACCAATACATGTTCTGCAATTGCAGTTGTATAATGTGTGTTCTCTCCACGAGTATCCTCATGTATCTCTCTAGTAACATAGTTTAATGCATGTCTGCATGGTGAAATAAGAGTTTAACTTACTCTTTAGGGAATAAATATTATTGAAGCAAAAGGTGAAATGTACTTACAATGGTAGACAATTGTATATTCTACCTATAGAATAATTGATGTCCATTAATACAACCTTTTTCAGAAGAACAACCTTTGGAGGGTGAAGAGATATTAATAACTTTGCATAGAAGAGTGCGTTTTCCTTCCTAAACTTAAACAAATGATCACTATGCCACAAAAGGCATAACTTCAAGTCTCCAATTGGAACTAGATAATCAAAAGACTCTTCTCTTGGATCAAAATTCTGAAATCTAGGCAAATGAATATCAGAAGCCTCGCCAGTGCTGATGTTGATTAAACATAGGATGTTACCAGTTTTGACAAATGCCTCTTTGAAGCTCTTACACCCATACAAGATACCATTCTAAAGAGTGGAAGGATAACCAATACTACTAGATAATAAACAATAATCTAACTTCTACCACATAAGATTGACATTCTCGCTTTTATGAAGAAAGAGTAGTGCAATTGAATTTTATACTATCGAAACCAAAACACCATCCTCTGTAGCGGCACAAAAATGTACCCTAGAACGCGTGTTTCCGGATGGAGGCAAAAGTTCCCAAAACCGCCTCTCCATCGATTGAATAAACATAGGCCCAAGGTTGATGACCTAATACAGACTGAATGAAAGGTCTTTGGACTAAATGAAGAAAGAGGCAACAACTGAATGAAAGGTCTTTGGACTGCAATTTATTTAATGAGGGAGCTAAATAATACATTTGATTTGAATGGCCATTAGCCCCAAAAAAGTAAAGCACGCCTTGTACAATAACACATTTAGCCTCTTGTTATAGTGCTTCTGAATGAGACAAAGAAATCTCGGTAACTATGGGATTTTTGATACTATTTCCTGTGATGATGAAACACTTATCACTCACCTTCCTATTGGATCTTTGATAGCTATGTAAAAAGATGGGAATATCTTTGTAAGTGAGTAAGGCTCGCCGGCAAATGATCCTTTCTCACTTACAAACGCAATACAATTGCCAATGAGATAAACAAATCCTTACTCTTTTGAATCGGCACCTTGTCTCCCATTTCTCATGAAACGACAAACGTCTACCTTAGAATGAAACACGGAAGAGGAAAACCATCAGACTCGGACTCTACTTTCGAAAAAAACTTAACCGCATCCACAAGTGTCTCTGGAAACTCTATGCCTGCCTGTCTAGCTATGCCTTTTGCCCGATGACAACTCTTGTTTATGAATTTAATAACCCAGTTTCTCGTTCAAATTAGGCATTTTTGGCTACGGAAGAGAAACCAGATATTCTCATCTTTTTACATGGCTATCAAAGATCCAATAGGAAGGTGAGTGATAAGTGTTTCATAATCACATGAATTAGTATCAAAGATCCCATAGTTACCGAGATTTCTTTGTCTCATTCAGAAGCACTATTACAAGAGGCTAAATGCGTTCTTGTACAAGGCGTGCTTTACTTTTTTGGTGCTAATGACCATTCAAACTAAATGTATTATTTAGCTCTCCAAAGACCTTCCATTCATTTGTTGCCTCTCGAGTCTCCGCAACATCTTCTATAGTTTCTTCAGGGAGTTCTGTTTACATATTTCCCAATAACATTCAGTCTGTATTGGGTCATCAACATTGGGCCTATGTTTATTCAATTGATGGAGGTGCAGTTTGGGAACTTTTGCCTCCATCCGGAAACACGCGTTCCAGGGTACATTTCTGGGCCGCTACAGAGGATGGTGTTTTGGTTTCGGTAGTACAAAATTTTAGTTGCACTACTCTTTCTTCATAAGAGTGAAAATGACAATCTTATGTGGGAGAAGTTAGATTATTGTTTATTATTTAATAGTATTGGTTACCCTTCCACTTTTCAGAATGGTAACTTGTATGGGTGTAAGAGTTTGAAAGAGGTATTTGTCAAAACTGGTAACATCCTATTTTTATTCGACATCAGCATTGGCGAGGCTTCCGATTCGTTTGCCTAGATTTCAGAATTTTGATACAAGAGAAGAGTATTTTGATTATCTAGTTCTAATTGGAGACTTCAAGTTATGCCTTTTGTGGCGTAATGATCATTTGTGTAAGTTTAGGAAGGAAAATGCATTCTTCTATGCAAAGTTGTTAGTCTCTCTTCACCCTCCAAAGGTCTTTCTTCTGAAAGAGGTTGTAGTAATGGACATCAATTATTCTATAGGTAGAATGTACAACTGCCTACCTTTGTAAGTACCTTTCACATTTACTTCAATAATTTGTATTCCCTAAAGAATAAATTAAACTCTTGTTTCACAATGCAGACGTGCATTAAACTATGTTACTAAAGAGATACATGAGAATATTCCTGGTGAGAACACACGTAATACAACTGCAATTGCAAAACATGTATTGGCAGAAGTTCAAATGATAGAGGCAACACAAAACATGGCGTAGGCAAGAAAAAAATTTAGGTTGATAAATTTTATCCAATTTTTTGTTTGTAAAAATTTGGGGTGGGCAGGGTCTAGTAATCCTCCAGAAAATGCATGAGTAATCTCAATCAATTCTGTAAAAATTAAGTGACTGGCTTAAATTTGCATTGTTGCCTTTTCTAGAAAAAAGATGAAGATGGTGTCAAAGTATCATTTCTATTACCGTTGCTACATGTCAATCATGAGAGAGAACCGTGCAATGAAAACAGAGATTCACTTCTTATAAAGGCAGAACTCGAAATCTCCACCAAGTTAGATCACAAATTTGTGAGTGTCACCCCTCCCCATGCCTCACTATAATTGATTACTGAATTGTAGGTGAGTTGAATGTTATGAACTTGTAGGTGAGTTGTTTTCCTTCTGAAATATACATATTGACAATTAGAGCGGACATTGCTTACATAACATTTGTTTCTAGGGACTTATCTTCTTGAGGTCAAACTTTATGTAGTTCTTGCATCTGTGTGGTGAGTTAGAGAAACTATTTAGAATCTTCATGAGTTTTGATACTGTGACCAGATTTGGTGGCTTGAATTAGAGAAGTAGGTTCAATCTTTTTTTTGGCTCGAGAATATGATGGAATAAAGCAAAATGGCTGACTAAACTGTCTGCGCTTCTTTGTTATGAAGCAGCAGTCAGTCCGACCCCCTCTTACCCCCCACCGTAGGTGGAAGCCTTTTCGGCTGGGGTAAATGATAATGATGATGATTAATATAGTTGCTGTTTGCTTAAGCCATCTTGATATATTATTAAATTCAGCCTTTGTCCAAGCTATTCTTATATGTACATTGTATGGCGAGAGACGTAACTACTGTCACGAAAGAACTAAATCTTAGGTAGACCGGAAAAATAGTCATTTAATTAAGTTTTTATCGTAATGGGTAGAATTGCATAAGTGTTACCGTCGCAGAAAATTATGGTCTCCTGCGCTGCTATCCGGTCCCGATTATCTTAGCTATTGTCCGACCAAGTTCTCTGTTGTTATCAAACCGCTACCGCTGTTGGCTTTGTTAGTAGGGGAGAGAAAATAGATAAAATCCTTCATTCTTGACATTAATCATAGTAAGCTAAGAATTTCTCTCCTTTTTGTCTTCACAGTTTATTTCTATTCATAAATATAATAATTTCAGAGCTCCAAATATTAACACTACAGGAGGCTTGAATGCTAAAAGAACTCAATCTCATGCGTGTAGCAGAATATATGGAAACATCTAGAAGTAGGATCCTTGAATGTAAAAATAGCCTTATTTCATATATATGAAGTAAGGCTACATTTGTAGCATTCAGATCTACACTAAGGAAATATTTGTAGCATGCTGTTCTAAATGTCTAGTATTGTGTATTGAATGAAATTCAGAGCACTACTGTGTATTACTCTTAGTTTAAAAAAGTGTGAGGCGATATGAGGCATTTTTATTCATTTTAGCCGAGGCTCACGCCTCTTGGAACTTAGTCACCTTGCTTTGCTAAACTATATTTGTATTACTTCTATATGATACGTAGTACCTTTTACTAAAAAAATCTGAAAAGTACTTCAGAAAACTAATGTTTTTTATGTAACCTGAGATTCAAAGCAGGTTGATGCCTTGATTTAGCTAATATATATTTTTACTTTTAAGAGTTGTTCAATGGGTATGCTTGCCTGGGGCATCTTGATTTATTATGAAATGTCTGATTTGCCATTCTGCGCACTATTCAGTTTTTTTTTATTATATTCATATTGTGTTGTTATAAGTTTTGTAGTTTTTATATTCTACTTTGACATTTGTTTAGAAGATTTGTTACGTCATTAATCCAACATATTATAACCTGGACTATTTTATGGTCTCTCTATCATAGGCACATGGCTTAATCCAACAGATTATAACCTGGACTATTTTATGGTCTCTCTCTATCATAGGCACATGGCTCCATGCAGTGGCGTACCCAAGGTAGTCAAAGGCGTTAGGCACACTCAAGGCGACAAGGTAATCCCAGCGCCTGAGGCGCAAGGCGCAAAAAAGCGCTCGCCTGACTCGTGCAGGCGCAATGCTTAGAAAAATTCATAGCAGTTTCAAAAGCCGTGGCAGTTTCAAAAGCCGTGGCTGAAGTTCCACCTTCCATGTCCTGTAAAAATTACACAGCCAGATATTATATATGCAGAATATAAAAAAAGTTTACTTGTTAACTGAAACATACTAACTGTAAAAAAAATACTAAATGAAACATACTAACTGATAAACATGCTGAAACATAGTAACTGTAAAAAGTAAAAACATACTAACTGATAAACATGCTGAAACATACTAACTGTAAAAAAAATAAGTGACTAACTGAAACATACATGCTGAAATATACTGATTAACTGAAATAGGTTTATTGAACAAGAACACGAAGATTACTTTAGAACAAAAACAAACTGTAGAGTACAAGAAGCTGTTACTTTACTTACTGAAACATACAAAATGAGCTGTAGAACAAGAAGTTTATTGATTAACTAAAAAAATATATGTAAGAGTTTACTACACATGTTTACAAAATACAGAGTAGAGCAACCAGTATATTTTTTCACATGTATTTGTATACATGTTTAAGTTGTAACTGCTGATAAATGAAGAAGTATGTAAGAAGCAACCAGTATATATGTATTTTTTCACAAGAAAAGGGGACTCAGTAAAACCGAAAATAAGCCCTCCCCTGTCAGGCGCAGTAAGCGAGCGCTTTAAAGCGCATCTGCGCTTCTGCGCTTTGTGCGACTACCTGCGACTTAGAAGGAGAGGTGCGACTGGCCATCCATAGGGCGCTGGACCTATCTGTCGCTGCGCTTGGTGCGCTTAAGCGCTCAGGCGCATGACTTTGACAACCTTGGGCGTACCTAGAAAAACTCGTGAGTGGGGGCGAACTTGCCTTATATATTATTATACGCACGTTACGGAGTCACCAAATAAAGAAAAATATTGTAAAGTTACTGTTAAATAACCAAATATTCACTGGGCAAAAACTTTATGATATCTTACTTAAAAATTCATATTAAATAAATTTGTAGCACAAGACGTTTGCAATTTGTTTAAAATTATGTTAATAAATAAGTGAATCAAATAAGGGAAGGATCACATATGTACTTCTTCTAAAAAATCATATATGTACATAGAATTAACTTAAGATACAAATTCACAAGTATATTAAAAAAGCAGTTTATAAATTTAAACTTTATGAATCATTTGTGAAACAAATTTTTTTATTATAATGAATTTTTGATATAGTATAAATCTCTCTAACAAGACAAAAGTTAATTTTTTTATGTTAAGCCATTTAAAATTTGTTTAAGGATTCAAAAGGGTGAAAAAAAAAGCAAAAATTGAGCCCTGCCAGTTTTGAACCCTGAACCTAAGAGATAGCAAACTGAAACGCATATAGATTTCCGTTCCACCGGTTTGACTTTTGAGTGCAAACTCGCTATTAATATAACAAATATCTACTTGCAGAGACAAATATACATATAAAATTAAATATTGGATATATATAGGGGTTGGATACGCCCCTGGCTCCATGTGTGTCTGACTTGAAGTCTTATTGAAATATTTGTAGGGGAAAGAAAGTAGTCTGTTTTTTATGGATCACGGGGTTCAGGTTTGTGGAAGAATATACTAGTATCTGCGGTATATGACTTAATGGAAAAATATACTAGTATCTGCAGTATACTAGTATTTGGTTTTGTAATTATTATCACTTAATGGAAAAATATACTAGTATCTGCAAATTTTTGGGAAAGATATACTAGTATCTGCAAATTATTTGGAGAAGGAATGCTCAATTGTTCATATTGTTTTTGCCTTTTTAGAGTAATGATCATCCGTACAATGGGCTTGGGCTTTTTTTTTCTTATGTGTAAGTATGCAGTTTGTGTGTCTGCTTGTCTAATTGTTTGATTGTCTCTCTCAGGAGTTAAATCAAAATGTGGCATTTAGTTTGTAATTTTTCACTTGAGTTCATAGTTGTTATGGTGTTGCCCAGGCACCGACTAGTGAGTAGGCCATGCAGCGGAGGAGTGATGCCATGCTCAATCGACCATAGACGGCTAGACAATCATGTTTGAGTTTATTCCAAAATTGGTCCGACTTGAAGAATTGTAGGTCGGTAAGCCAGGCTGTTGCCCTTTGATATTTGTTGGCATTGGATGGATCTGTAGATAAACTTCACGGGCATATTATGCAAGAAAATATGTGTATGGGTTCATTTTTGTATTTACTAAAACTTCAAGGAAGGAATGGATACACGTGTGCAGAATTATTTGTATGTGTATAACTACAACTCATGAAGAGGAATATGTTCATAACACATTAACAGTATTCTTTGAAGCAACTTGTGAGTTTTCAGCTAAAGCAATTCTCAAGGGCTTGTCTGGGGAAATTGGGAAGCTAAAATTGCATATTTTATGGTGGAACTTACCCGTTTGGTCCACTTTTATGGACCGCATATCATTTATGTCCTAGTTAGTTTTTCTTTTCAATTTTAATCTTTTCCGTTTTCAATTAAATTTTTTAATTTCAAATTTAGACTTTTATTTCAACCGTCTTTGGAAGGCTTCGAGAGCGAGCGTTCAAAATCTTTTGTGAGGCAAGGAGATTCTGCTAGAGCAGCATCAGGGACAGATGATAGGATTTTCAGCGTCGCGACCACAGTACTCCGTGAATTCATCAAACATCGTTCAGTTCTCCTTGTGTCTGGTCATCATTTGTCCGACATCCATCCAGGGGAACGAGCACTGGGATATTGCGGCCTCAGAGTAGAGAGCGGTGCATACCTCGTCTCCGGTGGGCAGGTTTGGCGGCCACTTTTGCATGGAAGCAAGCCCGAGCAGATGTCCTACGAAGCTGGAAACTGCTGGACGACATACCAGGGACACTGTGTTTTCCTCATACCATATAGGTCTCTGACTGATGATGTCCAGGTTACGTGATTCTCTATCACTTCCAAATTTACAATCCAAAGGTTCATATGATTTTGAGGTTATAATCAAAATCAAATCCTTTATTTTAAAATTGATGGCTCTGTATTCGCATTTGTGAAAGTAAACATGGAATCACATCTATTTTGAACTTCATTTGGTTTGGGTTACTTGGTTAAAGGATTATATTCTCAATATTATTTCTGGAAATAGGCTATGCACTAGATTTGAGCTAAATCATATGTCCCTCTAAGGTCAATTTGGATCAATAGTTTCAGGAGGAAAAGTTACGAATACTTCGTCATTGAAATGCCATAAGCACTTTGACAAGGCCATCTCTATTGTGGCAGATTCGAGCTGGTAGTTCCGTACTTCAGTATTTTAGTTACTGAGAACGTGAGGCTAAAGCAATCGAGAAGGCACTTAACCACTTTGCTTTATAAATTTCTTTGGCTGTCATTTTGAACAATGTCATATTCTAATATGTGTTTATAGTGATGTGAATGAGGTGATGCTGCATTTGATGCATCTTTGCTAAAGAGAGTGACATATGAAATATTATATTTGAAACAGGAGGAAAGAATATGGGAGTCCAATTGTATCTGCCTCTGCAATTGCTGATACCATAAAGTCACGGACAGAAGCACTATTAAGAAGAACTAAGGATGCGGTGTCATCGAAATCCATTATCATGAGAGTAGAATATGCACTGTCCTAACCTTACCATTATTGATACACCAGGATTTGTTCTAAAGGTAAGTTTTTTGGGCCAGTCAAATAGAGGTATGATGAGATTCAAAGTTTTGTATATGGGTAACATGTGATCTGTCTGGAAAATGATTTGACAAGTTAACGTAATTTCAGGCAAAGAAGGGTGAACATGATAACACACCTGATGAAATTCTATCAATGGTGAACCTGATAAGCATCCAATTTATACTGGGTGCCTCCAGATTAAAATTTATTCCTCCTTTCCTCGCGGGCCGTCGGTTGATTTTATCCCGGCCGCCATCCCCAACGGTAAGTATGGCTAATCCTTTTATTTAATTCCATTGAAGCTTGTACTTTGTGTTTAAATTGAATTAATTGTGTTATTTAATTCAAACTTGTTGTTTTAGGAATTATTTTTGGTTAGAGTTGTGTTTTTGTATGCTGCCCGGGGTAATTTTTGGGAGTTATAATCTGTCCGAAATCGTTGTTGTGATTAATTTAAACCTTGGGGTTAATTTACTGCTGCCTGAAGTTGTTTTAGGTGCCAAAATTGTCTATTTTTGTTGTTCGATGCATGATGCCCGATTTATCCAAGTGGCGTAATCTATCTGGATTTTTTTGCGTGATTTAAACTCCCTATAGTAGTATTCTGCCTGGGTTGAATTTTCTGTGCATTTCCTTGTTTTTTCGCGTGTGCTTTGTGTTTCGGGTCATTGCCATGACTACAAATCAGTATGACATGCTCCCGTTTAATGGAAAAACGGAATTTGACATATGAAAACAAAAAACTAGTGTGTTTTAATACAAAAAAAAGTTTTCAGAGTTATCACTAATATTTTCCTTGAATCAGAAGATAAGGCAAAGCAAATTGAAATGAACTGCTTGTTCAACTATTTACTTGAATTTGTCTGATTCTGGGCTTAGGAAAGTGGGTATTTTCAACCAATTGCTGTTGTATTAGCTTGTATCATTCAATTGAACATGTAGTATATTCTTGACGATGGTCTTTGTTCTCTTGAGCCTATTAGTTCCTTCAATCATGTGGAGACCGTCTTCTACACATTTGCTCTCATCCATCTCATTTCTCCTTGATAAGTTTCACAGGAAATAACAATCTATTTCTAGTTGATTATGGATAGATGATAATCAAACAAATATGACAATATCAAACACAATCAAAAAATGAAGAAGAGACCAAATATGACAATATCTTAGATTTCTTAGAGATGTTCAGACAGTAAAAGAATTCCTTAGAGATGAGTTTCAATTTACTAAACTTACCATCAAGCATTTTAATGAATACTATATATCATATGCATATGCCTATAACTACTCAATAAGTCATATATGAACATTTCACTTGTATGATATGCTCATAAAATATAACCTAACAATTTCAAGACATAGACTTGATGCATTGACAAACATGAAAATAAAAATGTTACATTAAAAAAGAACGGAAAAAGTATATAATGAATTGTGATGATGATAATAAACTTTTACCATTTTACACATATTACCTATTTACTCCAACAAATACCTCAGAATTGCAATCTCCATTCTTCTAACATAAATAAGTCATATCGCATAACAGCTCCATGCACACGCCAAGAGAAGTTAAGTTCCTCATCGAACTTCTTTAGAACATAAGCCGGATTTCTTTGTCCTTTGACCTAAAAAATAAAAATAAAAAGTAATATTAAACTTAGATAACATTTTTATGTGTAAGGAAAGGTAATTATAAAGAAACAAAAGATTACGTCAGCATGCTCATCAGCATTTCTGAAAAATCTCACTATATCACATGCAGCGTACACGTATGATTCCCTCTAAGCATATTTGAACATTTCATCCTTATCATCTTTATTGATACCAACACCGATACCCTAATCTAAAGAATATTTCATTGATGAAACATAAAAAGTTTTTGTAAAACTATCAACATCCATGCTATTCACCACAGCCTTCCAATCATAATTGAGACGGGATCCAAAATCAATTTTTGAGATATTGCTTTGCTTTATCGGCATACACAAATAGTTATGAAGTTTTCTATAAAAGTTCAACTGAGCATCCTAGTTGCCCCATAAAAATGAGGGGTAACTAGCAAAAGCTTTGGAACTCTATTCACTTAATTTTGTCCCAGTAAATGCTCCCAACATGATGAAATTATAGAGTAGGATTTGAATTGCTCAGGAAATCCATTATCCTATGGATTCAGCCAAACTTGAGATCTATAAGGCTTAATGTAGAGCCTTTGGGATCCATTTCATTTCCAATTCCTCGAATCCATGCATATAAAGCGTTGAGATCTTCACAAAGCTTGCTTTTCGAAAAAGCTGAAATATCTAATAAAAAGAGAAGTTAATACAAATTACTTATTAATTAGGGTGCCTTTATGTATGCTAAATTACAAATTAAAATAATGGGAACTCAGCTAAATATATATATGAAAATTGGGCAGTTTTATATATAAATTGCAGTTTTTTCAATAATTTATTTAACAGACTTCTTGATTGAATCTTAATCTGAAATTTGGTGGATATAATCTACATTTCATTGGGTGGGATAGAGATAGGGCAACTGCACCCTGTGTATTATACTAGGCTGGACAAAAAGGTTTGGTCCATGAAATGGAGATTATATCCACCAAATTTCAGATTAAAGTTTAATCTGAAAGTCTGTTAAATAAATTATTGAAAAAAACTGCAGTTTATATACATAAAACTGCCCAATTTTCAAAAATATATCAGACTGAGTTCTCGATTAAAATTTAATTTGTAATTTAGCATACATAATCTACACTTCATGGAACACATACTCACAAAATTTCATTAAAAATTTTGATCCAGAAGCACCTCAAATGAAAAAGACACAAAATTATAACTTTTAGCACCTCAAATGTCAAGCTTTAACGCTGCATAACCCTCCTTTCCTTATTTTTTCCGTTTAAAAAAATGTTGTGTTTCAAACGCTATAATCACATTATCCACAATGCTATGCCCCGACACAAAAGCGCTTTAATTTTCTGATATAATATGGTTTAAGATTCCCTTCACCGTTCACACGATAGCATCCTAATTAATAAGTAATTCGCATTAGCTTTTCTCTCTTTATTAGATATTTATGCTTTTTCGGAAAACAAGTTTTGTGATGATCTAAAGGCTTTATATGAATGGATTTGAGGAATTGAAAGTAGAACTGATCCCTGAAGGCTCTACATTGAGCCTTATGGATCTCAAATTTTGCTGAATCCATGAGCAATTCAAATTCTACTTTAATTTCATCATGTTGGGAGCATTTAGTGGGACAAAATTAAGTGATTGGAGTTCCAAAACTTTTGTTGTTCACCCCATATTTTTATGGGGCAACAAGGATGCCAATTGAACTTTCATAGAAAACTTTATAACTATTTGTATGTGCCGATATAAAGCAAAGCAGTACCTTAAAGACAAATTTTGGATCCTGTCTCAATTATGATTGGAAGGCTGCGGTGAATAGCATGAATGCTAATAGTTTTACAAAAACCTTTTATGTTTCATCACTGAAATATTCTTTAGATAAGGGGATCGGTGTTGGTATCGATAAGGATGATACGGATGGTCTGTTCAAATATGGTGAGAGAGAAACGTACGTGTACGATGCATGCGACATAGTGAGATTTTTCAGAAATGTTGAAGAACATGCTGATGTAATCTTTTCTTTCTTTCTTATTACCTTTCCTTACACATAAAAATGTTGTCTAAGTTTAATTTTATTTTTTACGTCGGAGGACAAAGAAATCCGGTTTATGATCTAAAGAAGTTCGATGAGAAACTTAACTTCTCCTGGCGTGTGCATGAAGTTGTTATGCGATATGACTTATTTATGTTAGAAGATGGGAGATTGCAATGCTGGAGGTATTTGTTGGAGTAAATAGGTAATATGTGCGAAATGATAAATAAAGTTCATCATTACAATTCATTATATACTTTTTTCGTTCTTGTTTAATGTAACATTTTCATGCTTGTCAATGCATCAAGTCCATGTCTTGAAATTGTTGGGTTATATTTTATGTGCATAGCATACAGGTGAAATGTGCATATATGACTACTGAGTAGTTATAGACATATGCATATGATATATAATGTTTGTTAGAATGCTTGATGGTAAGTTTAATAAACAGAAACTCATGTCTAAGGAATTCTTTTACTTTCTGAACATCTCTAAGAAATCTAAGATATTGGGGGTGTTTGGAACAGATTCTGCTTCTGTTTCTTTTTTAAAGCAGAATCACATTGACTGAACTCAATATAAAATAAATTAATAGACATGGTTGGGCCAGTAGAGGCATTTTTATTAAAATTGTTGCTCGAACCTGTGTATATAGATTGGCTTAAGGGGTTAGGCTGGGCTCTCCCACATGTCATAAATAGGGCTAGACCAATATGGACTTGCACGACAAATCAAATTCTTTATGTATCACGAGATACAATATAATCAAGTAAGTGAGTGAAAAAGATTTCATTACTCTCTGTAGTAATAGTATAAAAGTTCAAACTTATTTATAGCTTACAAATTTGAGAAAGTGCAAAATAAACCCCAAGACTATTAACAATTTTGCAACTAAACCCTTGAATATAAAGACCTTACAAATAGACCTCTCAACTTATTGAAATAAAACAATCAGATCCCCTTTTTTTACCGGCTAGTGCCGGTAAGGTAGTAACTTTCTCGTGAGATGTTACTGGCACCAGTAGGTAAAATAGTGCTTGATTGCCTTTTTTCAATGGGTCTATGATGTATTTAGAAGGTCTTATAGTTCATGAGTCAGCTTGCAAAAAGTTAATAGTTGTTTACCTCTTTTCTCTCTAAAATAGAGATCACAAACAAAGCTTGGAAAAGCTTCTTCTTCTTCATTTAGGTCAGAGAAATAACATTCAAGAACTACTGGAACGCCTTTTCTCCCAAGATCAGCGCACCCCAGTATTGACCTTGATGGATCCCTATCCCGACCGAATGCGCCCAAACCTATAGAGGACCCTCCCTCCTCGATTGTTTGTCGTGACTATTCTCCCATCGCAAGAGTTCAAAATGTGAGGAGCAGCCACCAAGCGCGTCCGGTTGAGCCTGACATTGACGGATCCCTATCCTGGCCGTTCTTGGGCGGAGTACCCCAAACATTACGCATCTATGTCAATGTATTCGAACACTTCCTGCACGTAAGCTTCCATTACGCATCTATGACACTATTTTTAAACATTAATTAAACATAGGTCAACTTGGCCATTCACCATTTGTTCTCTATGCAAGCTGGTGTGTGGATGCAC